ACACACACACACACACACACACACACACACACACACACACACACACACACACACACACATTTATCAGCCCTTTTGTGCTGAGTGGACTTTTAGATTTCTCTCTCTGTTATTATGGCAGTATGGTTACCTTGCTTTTGATTGTTTTTAATCACTACTTTTATTTTCGAGGTGTATCAAATGCTTTCCTGACTATTTAGAAATAGCGTGAATGCTTGTTGTCATTCTTGTTACATATCGTAAGAAGTTTTATTATTGTTAATTTATTGGTTTTTTTTTTAGTTTGCTTGTTTGTTTTGCTTTTTTGTTGTAATTCCCTTTTACTTTAGACATTTAATTACATATTGGTTTACATTACATATGTTGTAATGTAATGTTTAATTATGGGGACCGGAGGAAGGGTAGTTGCTAGCTTGGTAGTGGCTAATAGGGATCCAAAATAAAATAAATATGTAATATGTAATAAAATGTAATACAATTAAATCATAAATAGAAAAAATGAGTTCCAGGTCAACAGAGGGCTTTATGGGGCTATAGGTACACACTATTATTAGACTATATTAAAGGGGGAATTGAGGATTTTAAAAGATTTGCACAAAGCTGGACCTTTGAATGCCTTGAGAGATTTCTGAGTTGAGCTACTGGTTTTAAGGGCAAAAGTTCATGATGATTAAAACTTCCAGAAGCAAGAAGGACTCACTCCTCCTTCACTCACTGAGGTTTATCTGAACCAGTGAGATTATTTCCCTCAAGAGCAGCTGGCCTGCTGCAGTGAAACTCTGTCACAAGCATCACATCCTTACTTTATTTGTCTTGGTTCACAGTCCACCCCGGGGAGCAGCAGCCTGGCGGCCTGCCTCACGTCGTCGCTGTCCACAGAGAAGCTTCGTCGATGCTCAGTGTGGGCCACCGCCACCCGGATCCACTCCATCAGCGGAGGCAGTACCAGGAACGGCCTGCAGGGGGAAAAAAGTTCGTTTTGCGCACATGAAATGTGCATTATCTCACTCTGGACTAGTCACATACGGATGATTGGTCAGGACCCTTTAGCGTCACTTTTTAACACACTGGGTATCAATTTTCCACATGCAAGGTATAAACGCAGTAACATGGTTAACATTCAAACAAAACTACTTGGTCAGGTTGAAGTAAAGCTATAAAATAAGTATGTTTGTTACTTTCTTATTTTATCTATGTTACGTACATCGAGTAAGTTAAGTACATTACAAAGTAAAAGTACTACTTAACTTATGTGTGAGCTATATAGGTCTTTATAAAATGTGAAAAAAGTTAATATAAACACGTGTAGAAATGTAGATACACAGAGTGTTATAGGCCATATCAATATATAGTATCATGATTAATGTGACCTATGTATGACGAAATATGAACTAAACCTTTAAAACACACGTCTGCTCTCTTCTCTTTTCACATAAAATCACTTAATAGAGACCCAACACTGATAGCACACACACACACACTTTCTAATTAAAGATGCCTTTAACTGAAAAGGCAGCTACACCAAATCAATATTTATAATTTATAACTCAGATAGCGCAGAACAAATAGAGATCTAGATACTGCAACCTCCCTAAACGCTGTTATTACCTTCTTTAATCAAAATCAGTAATGAGTCCTTCTTGGCTGACATGTTCATGTTTCATCATTTATTTCCAGGACTAGTGTGTGTGTGTGTGTGTGGATATATTCTCTAATCACACGTCTAAAACACACACATGCTTATGTTGTTCTGTCTATTATTTATCTTTTCCCCCCACAATGCAACAGAAGCACAATTCAGGTCAGTCATTCATCAGACATTTGACCTCTTTATGTCACTTCACAGGCAGAATGAGCTGCTGTGCTTTACAGAAAAGATAAATATATGAAATTTTACATGCACAACTTTCTAACTTCTTGTTTTCTAAGAAAAAAAATAACACATTAAAGAAATAATTGGAGGGAAATACAGTTATTTGTTTCTTAATAGATTGATATGGCTGTGCGTTAAGTGTCGTGTTATGAGGCGATTTTACATTATTTTATCCATATATTGTAAATAATTGACTGTTTGCTAACCCTTACTTGTTGCTAAACTCGTCAAGCTTTCTATTCTCGCACGCCACATATGCTAATGCTAAAAATTTTCTTGTCTGTAACCGTACATTTTTCCGGCTGAAATAACAATTTGTTGTTGAGAACTAGCGACTAAGCTAATAAGCTAACATTGGCTACATGAGTTGATTAACAACGCAATCTGAAATGTTGCTTTGTTTTGTTAGATGGCAGCACGGTATCTCCAGAGTAAGATGACAGCTATTGAGCTGCCACAATCAAACCTGGGACATATTAAGTTTGGGCAACGCTAATCGCACAATTTGACAAGCTTTCATGTTTTTATAAGAGAATAAATAACTCTGTGAAAAAAGGTCCAAGGTGACTGTTTAATCATGACATTTCTCTTTGTCAGTGAAGTGCTTCTCCAGTGCATTGTTGGTGTTCTCGGACATCCATTCAGTCACACTGACTTCATACCACAATGGGAGCACTCGGACAACCCAGAGAAAAACAAACTACAAAGAAAATCCAAACAGTAAAATTGGTCATGGTTCTGCCAACACAGATAACACCCGTAAGAAATAATTTCTTTATGTCCAAGAGGGCTTGGTTCCCTGAGCTAAAGCTAATGCATACTTCATTCAGCCTTGTATGCAGGAAAATGGGACTAAACACATTTATTCAAATACTCGTTGTCCAATAATATAAAACACATCTTATCAAATATATTTCAATGATTTTTTTTTTATGATTTCACGTTAGCTAAAAGTATTAATGTGGAATTTTTGTAACATTGTGAAAGCTCTATGAACAACTGCAGGATATGATTTAGGGGGAACGTAAAATCATAAATGACCAATTTGTGTGTATATATAGTTATCTATCAAATATAAAATCTATTTATCATCATCTGTTTTCTTGTTTCTTTAAAAAGAAAAATTTATCACAAAACGGAAATGATAAACTTTGTTGTTTTCATGAAGTTGATGGAGTTCATAGATCATAATTATTGTTACATTGAGTCCATCCACTGGCAGTGTGCCTTCAGTACATCCTCCTCCATTATAATAATCGTCCTCATAAAGACTGCCCTTTTCTCTTCTCTGTAAAAGGGAACTAATGACAAAAAGAACAGCCTTGGTATATGTGGCTTGTACAGTCTTTTTGCAGTCCCTGGCACTTAGCACGTCATTGTTAGATAGGAAAAGACCTTTCACTCGCTTCAGCAGATACTAAGCACGATTATTTCCCCCATTTGTACTTAACCATCATGAATATGGCCTTTTTATGAACCATTAAAGTTACCTTTAGCAACAAATGTACTTATTATACAATAAATATGAATTATAGTAGCGCTAGGAATAATTCTGTTTAGATATCATTAAGACAGAGTTTCCTTTCAGGCTTTTAAAACCATCAAACAGTCTCAGATGTACATTAGAAAACCTTAAAACCTTAAATCAATTGGGTTAACTTCACGTTATAGTCAGTTAAATTATATTATGAATCCATCAGTGAAGGCCCCAGAGGAGCTTTATTCCCTCATGACCCTCTGGCAACCGTAATTTCTCCAAAAATGATTCAAACCAGCACGTAGCCGAGTCAGCGAAACCATTTGGGACTGTTGTGTTTACCGTGTATTCAGCTGCTTCCTCCTTCTGTAGTCATTTAGCTGTAAGCACATGTTTAATAAAGGCAGCAGCGTTTAGATATTGACACACACTGTTTGACTAGTCTTTTTTTATGTGCCAGGAATTTGAACTCTGGCGAGGGTTTTTATAAAAAAAAAAAAAAAGGGAGCTGCTGTTTAGCATGTTGGCTGACTAATGTGACAAATTAGACCTCCTCCCTTTCCTCAGAGCTTGTGCTCTCCCGTAAGACATATCTACCGCTCTGGGTTTGCAGAAAGGGGAGGCCCAGTCTGGAATGAAAACAGTGAGGGTAATGTTATCCATCGATTCAGACGGCGGGCCTGCAGCGACAACCAACACCCAGAGCTGCCAGGGTAAAAATTACACCTTGGAAGCAAATGTCTGGGCCAAAATACTGAATATATCATGAACTACAATCTACTGTAGCTCTGTTACTATTTTAAATTCCTCAAGGTTTTTCATCTTTCTTATTAACTCTAAGAAATTGGAGCGATAAACTAATTTTCTTCTTCTGATGTAACTCCAGGTAAAGAGCGTACAAGTCATTTCAGTAATTTACTCCCCCTTCTATAATCTAAAGCTTCACAACACAGACGCTAAAAGATTACTTTGTCTCATTTCATCATATTCTCCCGTCGTCTCTGTGTTATTCGGGCCGATCCTGCTCGTCTTCAACCTTTCAGCAGAATGCTAAATAGAGGATTTTTCTCTCGGGGGATCCGAGAGCCTGCTGACATGTCACTCCGCCTGACATTCCTGATGCTCCCCGGGGTCGTCACAATGGAGTTTTATCTCCTCAGAGTGGAGGAAAGACGTTGGGAAAAATCTGTCCATTCGTCTATCCGAGTGAAGTCCCTCTGGTTCCCATCAATGTGATTGACGCCCGGGGAAGTGTCAGCGCTGCCCAGACCATGCAGCGTCTTATGGGATCGCTTGTGGGGGCGAAAAACTTGTGCAAGAAAGTAGGAATGTCTGCAGCAACCTTTCAGACCAGTTGACATTATTCCAGCTCTGGAATGTGAGACAAACTGACAAGAGGCAATATGGCTGAAAGGATATGTGTGTCCACCTATCAAAACGGAGAGATTTTAAAGTGTGTAATGTGTGCCAGAATTGTGGGTGATGGACGTTTTAGGAGATTGTAACTTACACACAGATTTCTCAGAGATAAAAAAAAATCATCTCACTGCTTGATTTACAGCTCGACGAGTGGAGGCCAAGCACCACATATCGTACTGCACAAAGTAGCTAATTGACACAATGTAATAACGAAAGCGGGATTCTTTTTTTTTGGCTCTTTGGGACACTTAAGTGTTCGCCGAGACTTGTGCCATGTGAACTTCTGCCAGAGCAGCCAAGAAAGGTTTTACATTTGCCCTAATTGAGCCAAAGTGGTTAAGTTGTTTTCAAGAATTAAAGTAATCCTTCACACGACCGTGTCATATTTACCAGGTATTTGTTTTGAGGTGGTCACAGTTACTGGTGAATCTGGTAAATCTATGCCAATAAAAAAGGAACCTCGGAGTCAATAACAGTCGCCAGACGAGCTGCTGACTTCTCTCATTAGCAACCTGGATATATTAATCAAAGGGCTTCCAAAGAAACATATTTGCTACTTGTCTGTCAAGTGCTGAAGTAAAACATCATCACTCATGTTCTAAAGTTGGGTATCATAGAACATTTAACGTTTGACTGTTTGAAGGTAACTTTCTGGGGGTAAACTTCGACGTCATTGACTTGACTTTGAGTAAAACTAAAGCGTCTGAACGCACCAGTAGTTTTCGTCTCCGTCTGGGTGCAACGTGTCATTTCTGGGGAGGAGGCATGGAACCCCCCATTCAGGGGTTGTGTCCTTTGGAGGAGCCAACAACTGCATTGTGACACCACTCTTGTCTCCACCTCTATTGCACAATACAATTATGAAACTTGTGACTCAAACTGGTACAATTCTATATCTGTTTCTGGATTTGGACTAAAGTAAAAGTGTGCAAGCAGCATCATTCACTGGGTTGTATTCGACTCACCTCTCGGTCTGTAAGGTGACTTTGGAGGGCTCCACGTTGGGGTTCTCCCACTCCATCTGTGGGCAGTGCATGAAGTAACACAGGGTGTAGAGGGCCTCGGGCTCCCAGTGCACTGTGGTGTTGGTGGTCTTCTGGTGGACTGGAGTCCCATTGCTGGGGTTCTTGATGTGCAGGGGCTGGAGGTGGTGCATGGCCCGGGATACAAGATCACCTGGAGAATATTTTTACACATGAGGACGGTGCATGGACTGCAATAAAAAAAGATGTCAGAAATAGAAATTCATTAAAGATAAGAATAATACCACCATGTAGTACGCTGAGGGAAGATCTACTCATTATAAGAAAGTCCTACGCTTTACTCCCAGAGCGCAGATCCATTTCTTTCACCACTGCTTTGTCATGGGAGTACTCGCTGCACTCACTGCTTCATTCACACACCCTCTGATTCATCGTACATTTAGTCATAGACATATGCCCACACAGTCCTCGCCGAGTGGGAAATTGCTGGCTCGAAATTAAATCTTACGCACATCGTGCCTCTCTCAGTGAATCGGTGAAGTGAGAGCCCTTGTTCTGTCCTCATTCTACCTTCAGCTCTTACTTTTCTCTGTTCTTCTCCCAGTTTTCTGACATGATCACAGAGAGTCGTGGGGAAAACTACAGCGCATCCGTGTGCATGTGTGTGTGTGTGTGTGTGTGCAAAATGAGGTGAACTTCACTAGAAACGTGGTTGTAGGCTTGAATAGTTCTATTAAAGGATAGTTCAGACTTTTAATAACATGGGTCGTATTGTTTTTTTGCTCTTACCATTGTTTCTATCAGAATTAGTCAAACTTGAGTTTCAGTCCAGTTTCAGTCGACACAGAAGCCGCAGCAACATTAGCTAGTAGAAATAAAGTTAATAATAATAATATCCAAACTGCAATAAGCTGGAATGATGATGATCCTTAAGTCGCATTGTAGGGACAAAAGTATTTTCACATACTATGTTTTCAACCAAGGGGTAAAAATGCAATGTCATCTTAAGAAACAAAAACAAGTGTGTGTATAATGGTGAAGCCGTACTTAATCATGATTTATTCAGGATTGAGAACATCGTGTGATATTTTTCTCAAGGTCCTGAGGACTCACACATTAAAAACAAAATCTCAAAACAGTTTCCTGTAAAAACTGCAGAGATTAAGTAAACCAGCATGGAGAACATTTCCTGGTATCTTCTTTGATAAATGTGGTCCATTGTTTTTAATATGAACCTGTTTCACGCCGTGCCTGTAGGCAGCAGGGAGCCAATGAAAGTCAGAAGAAATTTTACGATTCTAATAGTTTTGAACACTGGAGGAGGTATGAACTTCAAATACTCAGCGCTGACATTTAGAGAGTCATAATTCTCTGATGTAGGATTTTATCGATGAGGTCATTAGCGATGCATTTAAGAATAACGATATTGCTCTGAGGGAGGAAAATACTGCAGTGTGAGCATGCAGGGTCGATTTCTCAGACAAAACTAATACCCCCATTGATCTAATTATTTACTCTGCTTATCGGAACGCTGGTTGGTGTGAGGCCTACAGGAAAACACGGACGGAAAACACCACCACAGCCTGAATATGGCGAGTTAACGCGTTCTCTTTCTGGATACACGATGAGTACTATGTGAATAAAACAATATGTGTGAAAGTCTGAAGCTCTGAGCTGCAGTGCAACAGTAAACACACCGCAGCACAACGCACACATCCGCTCTTCTGATTTTGTTTGTTCCAAAAATACCCAGTCTGAGCAAAGTTGGCCTCGTCTTGAAACCTCATTGCTTCGACAGAATGACACGGTGAGTGTGCGCTCCGAGGTTCTCCATCTGTCAGCTTAAAGGCCCCTGACAGGGTTCACAGGCAGTCAGACATAAACGGAGCACGATGCTCACGGCACAGTTTGCTCTCCGGCTCCGGGGGAGCCTTATAGACGGTTATCTAGAAAGAATTAAATACATCAATAAATCACAGGAAACAAGGGAAATCATGCCCCGTTTCTTCAGGATGAAGTGATTAAAGATGTGTGGTGAGAAAAGGCTCCCATCTCCAGGTATGACACATTAGACAAACACGATTAGCTAAGGTCACCCAGTGCGTTCAGTCAGAGGCAGCTCCTGAAGGTGCTCAGTGCGAACCAATGACATCAATGGCTCTTTTCATTCCTCAGTTTGCACGTCCTCGATTCCTTTCCTCCTGAGATGTGAGGGGAGGAGGCGAGGAAGCGACACGAGGAGAGAGGAGTAGAGGCAGCAGGGATCTGTGCTTCAACGTCAATTAAATATGACGTGTGTTACACTGCTGTATTTTATGATCATGTGATCGTGAGAATTTATTAATTGCTTTTGTCTTTTAGCAAACAAGAATGCCAAACACTGCTTCTTCACGGTGAGAGTTTTAATTGATTGATTGAATTTACTACAAAAAAGCAATTGCAGATTTCATCTTTGGCTCTGGGAACATGTCATCATGGGAATTTCCACTATTTTGTAGCAACACACGAAAGAAAATCAATACATTAATCATTAAATGCAACAATCATCACTTGCGCCTCTCTGCTTGACTGCAGCTTGCATACTCTGTTTGCTTGTTTGGTAGCGTTTACTGTAGCATGAAACATCAATCCGGCAGATTCATTCAGCACAGAACACCTTTCCACTCCAGGTACTCAGGAAGTCCCCATGCTACTCAGGGTGAGTTTACACAGTGTGCTTCTGGCCTGAATATTAAGAGGAAGTGAGACATTAATAAAGATTACGATAAAGCAAAGGGGACAGAAATATGCATTTACGTTACAAACCCCTCCTGCTCAGTGGGACACGACATAAACCGACCACAACAAAAAAGACAAAAGAGAAACACTAACTCCCAAAACTGACAACGCCCCCTGTGGTTTGCAGAGCAAACTCTGAAACCACACCGCGTCCATAAATAAAAGACATCTAGTTTTTCACCACAACAAACGGAACAGTCAGCCAACGAGCAAATGGCTAACCCGCCGCCGTCCCTCAGAGCTAAACAGCCAGCGTGCCGGGTCTGATAATCAAGCATTCGTTGTCTTTATTAATTGTTCTTTTGACTTTGGGTTTGTCAGCAGGACAACATTTGCTCCCGTCTCCTTTGCTGTAATTATCTAAGCGACACTCCTACGGGGGTCATGTTTCATCTCGTTTGAATTAATCATAGAGGACAGCTTAGTGTCTCCCTTTTCTTCCAGCCAAGTCCTCTCCTCTTGGAAGGACTCATTAAAGAGCAGAACTTTGTTCCCTATTAGAGGAAAATGGTGAAACAGCACAGAGCGAAAAAAAGCCCCTGCTTTAATGAAATGTCAACATTGTAAATTATGTCACACATCAGCTACACACCCTGTAATTACCTTGTCTTTCTCAGTTTCCTCATGTAAGTTAAGGGTTGAATGTTTTCATGGAGATTATGGTTTTCATGTAACATAAAGAAAGTAACTCTTTTCACCTCTGACTCTGATCTTTACTGAGAGCCTCAGTGAGGCTGTACTTACTGAGCTAATATGCACTAACATCCTCATACATGATAACATGCAGGTGAGATTATCCCCATGTTCACCCGCTTAGTGAAGCGTGTTAGCATGCTAACAATTAGCACTAAACACAAAGTACATCTGAGGCTGATGTCATTATTTTATACAGGTATTTGGTTATAAACCAAAGTATTAAGAACATTGTGACATTGATGATGCTGCCAGATGAAAAATCATATTGTCACCAAAAAGTATTCAATGTTTTTTTTTGCAAACTTGTTTCCTGATCAATTTGGTGCCATATTTGGGAGGAAGCAGTGAAAAGTTCTGGATGCAAATTCAGGATAAGAACTACCTACGTATATGTATCACCTAATTGAACAGATGTGATTGTGATGGGATGTGTTTTCAGAGCATACTGCCCCCAACAGTCAGAAACCAAGCTTGTAATTCAGGCAGGTAAAGTTAGGTGAGCCAGATTATCAGACGTGACCCGATATTATCACGGCGAGACAACTGTTGTGTTCCCTAATGGACGACTGAGATGGAAGATTCCTTTCGCTGTCCTCTGACACGCTGTCATGGCCTACAGCTCCCCGGGGACCGAACCGAGGACATTTAATCATCACTTGGTAATACGACCGACTCGGAGCTCTGCCTTTGGGGCACATTAGCAATTCCGTGGCAACTATTAATCACAGTCAATTACAGGACATGTCATCGTCAACACAGGACTAGCAGATACTTTTTACCAGCGCTGCTCGAGGGGAAATTAATCACCAGTAGACCTATTTAATATTGGACATGTGGAGGGAGGTCAGTGATAACTTATGCGGTAACAATACAGAACAGGAGCTCCTTATAAGATTGTATATATATGCTCTCAGCTTGGTGGTTTTATGATCCTAGGTCACACCTTTATAGTAACCTGGCCCGGATGCAATCAGAGGCTGAGTGACCGTCTGGAGTTCTGCAAAAGATTAAATACAGGAACTCTTTTAATCAAAGAGAATTCAATGGAGCTAAAATGCTTTAAATCCTGCTACTATTTGACTCAACCCCGTTTTCGGCAGCAGCAGGTGACTGTTTTAACAAGCTGTTAACGTCGTGAAACAGTCACTGAAAATGTTGTAACACGTGGTTTACGTTGTAGAAAGGTTGCGTTAAATGTTGTAACACACTGTTAATGCTGTATAACGGTCACGGTAAAGCAACAAAACTACTTGGTTAGGGTCAGAAAAAACATCATGGTTGGGCTTAAAATATGTGCTCCTGTAACGTAACTTAAACTAAGGGCGTAACGTCATGTGACGCAGAGAAGTGAAGTTTGACGCCCTCGGAGTGAGACCAGAACATTTAGCAGCTAAACGCCATTATATTTTTCTTGGAAGTTGGTGGAGATCAAAGCAGAGTGAATATTGGACTTTAATTCTTCGGGTGGCCAGAAAAGTGACCTCAAATATCAGCTCAAGTTGCTCCATGTCTGCTGGATGTGTAAATAGGCAGCTGTTTGCTAGCATTTCATCCATAACCACTATATAAGGTGATAACTACTTCAAGATTCAAGCATTTATTCGTCACATATTCCTAAATATGTGCAGGTTAGCATACTTCAGAGGATGTGATAAAAGGTAAGTGTGCAGTGGTGATTATATAAAGTTAGAATAGAGTCTTTGAAGTTCAGGTGTCTTT